TATCACTAGATCAGGGTGAGGAATTCTTACAACTAGGTCTTTGTTGCCCGTAGGTTTTCTTATAGTGTTGGTGGGTAGCTGATGTTGGCCGTTTGACGGAACCGACAGAAATGTTAGTAAGGTTTTTCTTCGTTAGCACTTAAACTGACTGGTTCCCATGGAGGCAATGCATAATTTGCTTTTTGGGGACGGGTGATCATCACACCGTGTCTGTTCAGTTACCTGGACTCCTGTGGTACATTTCTTGGAATTGCATTACTTCCCTATTTCATTGAAAATTTGGACTCAATCGATATAAATGTTTTCTAAAAGGTGGCAGAAGTTGATTCTATACCCTTCGAAAATGCGTAAGCAGAGGGGCGAATATTTGTTTACCCTGAGTTTTCTACTGGCAAGGTGTTTTACTGTCGGTCCTCGTCACTTATTTAGAAGGCAGCTCTTGCCATCAAAATCGAATCTAAAAGCTTTTAGTTGAAACAATGTTCTGCGTTTCAGACCTTATGCATGTCCGTGACCTTGGTTTGTTTGGAACTATTTTGAATAAATACAGTCTCTATTTACCGCATCGTCTTTGAATCCAGCACATCAACTTGAATGTTAACGCTGTTGGAGCTAAAGCGCTGAGCAGTCACTTCGCACCGCGTGTTCACTTTTTTCAAGCCTCCTCTGTACTGTCAAACACCACTGTCCGAGATCTCTTGAGTAAAGTTCACTAGCTTCTTCTCGAATGGTAAGATACGTACTCTGTGACACTGCCGGCAGGATATCCCGGAATGCTTGCAAAACATGACTGAGATGGTTTTTGCATGCCCTTCTTCGTATCCCACGAGTTCAATGCCGCTACCGCAAATTAAAGTCTGATGTCCCACTAGTGTACTCCATATGGTTCTCAAAGAATCATTTTGCCCAGTGTTCGATCTCCTTAGTTTACTTCTGATAGTTATGGCTTCAGCTTCAAGACTTTTTTTCCTTTTTTCTTTCCATGGCGAATGTAGCAAATACGTATTTATGTGTCATTCATAGTCTAGATTCATCATTACCACTGAGAAGAGGATCCTTAATTTATATTTTCGGTTCCACATTAGTCTTCATGCAGGTTTCCGTTAAAACTTATAACCGCTTACGCTGACAGCGTTGTGGAAGCACCAATTCGCCTTTGCCAAAAGACTGTTCCTCGTATTTAGGCTTTAGCTTACGGTGCTGATGCGAATGCTGGTGGGGTTGCAGTTCTTCTTGAGGTGGCACGCATCATTGGCCAACTTACAGATGCCAAAAATTCTCCAAAGTAAGTGACCATACAATTTATATAATGACATTTTTAGGAAACTACTCTGCTGCCTTTTTGCTATTCTGAAACCTAGTCGGATGGATACTTCTCGTGCCTTTGTAAATTACTTCTGCTTTACGTAGCCGTGTCAAAAAATAACGAGTGTCAAATACGCACATTCCTGTATAATTTCAGGCATGCACCTTCCACGGTGTGGCTCGTTGTTTAGGCAAAATTGACAGTATTTTAGTGGAACAGAAAAATAACTTTCTTTTTCGTATCTATATAGTAAAGCTTTTAGTTTAAGGCTACCTAATATAGCGCGTGTTGTTTCTTCCTATTAATTTCCCGCTTTATCTTTTTTAGATATAATATAATTTTCCTGCTAACCAGCGGAGGAAAGTTTAACTTCCTCGGTGCTAGGCGTTGGCTTGAAATGAACTTAGAGGATACGGCTGGTCTTGGTGAGTTAACGCCCCTTCCTGACATTTGTGGTCGTTGATTTTTTCTCCGGAACATTAAGCCACGTCTTTGCGGCTTATAATTTTCACCAGTTCCTCAGGTCTAATGCCACCTCAAATTTGACTTCTAGAATGTTTGAAATCATTCTTTCTATCCTTACTTTGTAGTTTTATCATCCATTGCTTTCTGGCTATTCTGTTACGTTTACTGACTACGGAGCATGTCCTCACTATTATCTGAGTCCACCTTCCCTCAATTTTTAGCGATACTAGATTCGGTCGCCCAAGTCATTTGTTTGGAGGGTCTGGGAGAGAATTTTGATGATCGTCTACGCCTCCACGTTTCTAGGGTGCCACGAGATGGGAGCTTCAGCCAAAAGCTCGTGTCAACCCTGGAACTCGCCGCGAAACTTCATCCGCTCTCGGATTCCCATATGAAGGTACTATCTTCCACCAAAATCGCCAGTTTTGACAGGCTTATTGGATTCAATTTCAACTGCTGGGGTCCAATCTCGTCACAATAAATGTTAACCCAACGTAACCCGTTCTCCTAATAAACTCCACTGGTCATCGTTAATTCTGTCAAAACCTGATTTAATTTTCTTCCCCCCTCCTCTCCCTTCAGCGACCTCTTGATAATGAGACTCAAATTGAAGTCGTCCACAAGAAAATTAATCTAAATCAATATGACCTAGCCTGGGAACACGAACGCTTTTCACTGTACCGTTTGCCCACGGCAACATTCTCCTCCTGGCCTACACCAAGTACCTATAAGTATCGTCAATCTGTCCTGGATGGCGGACCTCTCTCTGGCCGAGCAGCTCCTTCCCGAGGCTATTGGGGGCCAGTACAACCGGAGATTCTCGCTCGCAACACGCGGGTCCTCGCGGAAGCTCTCGTGC